ATAAAGTTGTATCTGGAAGAGCTAAAGGGAAATAAAATTGCTGAGTCAGTTTCAGCTCTGTCTAGTATTTGTCTAAATCATTGAGCTTTTTCTAAGAGACCTGACTGAGGTTTGAATAGTCCTTTGGGTTGGGGAAGATTCTTTTGAATTGAAAAAAATTTCAGTCTTTTTAAACTTCCTCCTACTTTTATGCAGTAGAAGTTTAGCTATCCTGAGGCACTTCAGGATAGAACAACACATTTCTGTTTGGTCTCAACATAAATGAATTTGAAAACCTGTGCCTAGCAACCACAACAATAAAATGCTATTGGTTTCGGTTTTCTTTTTTTTTTAAGATACTCTTTTTTCAGTAATGTAACTAAGTTTGAGCATCTGATGGAGGGAGTGATTCTTCTTTTTCTAATAAAAACATTACCTTTGAGGCTAGCCTCACTCTAGAAAGGGGAAGTTTTCTGGCTGTTTCAAGCATTTTGACAATCTTTCTTATTTTCTCCCTGCCCGTGCAAAACCACAAGTTTATTAATTGAAGATGTGATTGCCAGTTCACTGAGCTAAGAGACTTTTTCTAAGTGTAGATTCAAGCCCTTTAAAAAGGTATTTACTCTAAAGAATGTGCAGAACCTTTAATATGCTTATGATTGCCAAAAGAAAGGACTTTTAATGTATGCATGTGAAATATTTAATAGAAATGAACTGCTGCTCCAGCTCTGAAAAAAGACTGTACTGAGAAACTTTGCCAGATGACACCAGGTCGTGAAGTGCTTTGTGAGAAATGTCTTGGCCTATTCTAGTTACTGATGAAATTTGCTTTGCACTTCAGTAAGGCCAAAATTTCACAGTTGGATGATGCCCTAGAGATTATCAAGAATACTAAGAAAAATTTCCCATCACCTCTGATTAATTACCCAGAGTAACAAGTGTTCCCCTGGGCCACGTTTTGTCTCAGCTATAGATAAGCTCTGCTATGTCAATTTTGATGAAGTGCAAACTCTGCAGCAAGCAGGATAAATTCACTGCTGCACCATGTGGTCCTGTTGGCAACCTGGTAACATAAATCTAGAATAATAGTAATTGCTCTCTAATATAATAGTGCTAAGAACTTTAAGGATTCAAGTGTCTTTTGAGGTGGGGAAGATGAAAAGAGGGGAGAAAAATATTAAAGAGCTTCCGCAGAAATTAATTTCATGTATAAGAGTTATTTGTAGAGGAAATTGTGGAATATTGCCATGAGCAAGATGCCATTAAAAACCTCCTATCCTTTCTACAGTACGAATACTGATTGTTTTCTTGTTAAATATTTTTTCTTTTTAAATATTTCTTTTTATATCTTTTTACCAGTTAGTGCACTTAAAATATTTACTGGTGTCCATAAGTATATACAGTAGGTTATCCAAAACAGATGTGGTTTTTAAATTAAAATAAAGTACTCCTTTGTTATAATCAATATGTTACAACATATAATTATGAATATCATGATCACATCAGGTTAGTACATTGAGAATTATTCATAAAAGTTAGATCTGTTGGTAGATTTGGGATGTATGTTCTTCTTCACTTGGTTAAACAAAGTCATTGCCTTTCCCAACATACCTTGCTTTGTTTATCTTCTCACACTGAAGGAAAAAAAGATATTTGTTTAGCTATTCAAATGAAAACTCATTTGGGACATACTTTTGTTTTGCCAATTCATGTGTCTCAGTGTCTTTCTTCCTCCTTTTTAGCCCTGTGCTGAAGCACAGATTTTCTTAAAATCAAAGTGGAGTATGTGTGTGTCTTGAACCTTTTTTTTCCTGTTATTTGTACAAACACATGTTTGAAAGAGCTGGAATAATAGGGACACAAGTGTCTCTTAAAAATCTGCATAGTTTCAAAATGTTGTGTAGACTTGTCTGTAATCCTCCAAGAACTCCTCTGTGAGTAGGGGAGCATAATTTGTCTCATTTATAGATAGCAAACACAGAAGTGGAAAAGCTACACAACTGTAAGAACAGACAGATGGTCCCTAATCTTTGATACAAAAATGGATCAAGGGTGGTGATGGAATAAAAGAACAACCCAAGCAAACAAACCAAACCAAACAAAAGGAACTCAACCCAAAACAACTGCCAGAAGACCTATCAGGCTTACTACAGAGTTTGTCCAGGGAAAAGCTTTGATGATTCACAAGTGGCTCTTGAGCTGCCAGTCTTTTCACTTTGCTTGCTGTGCATGTAGTGCTGCCCATCACCTGTTGTTGATTATAACATCCTATAAATCTAATGTTAGAAGACTAGCACTGGGACACAGTGCCTGCCCTGGCTTAATGGACACTCTAGGAAAAAAAATAATTTTTTCAAGAATTTATTCCTGGACGAGCTTCTATGCAGCTGGCATTGTCATGAACTGATATTTCTATTAAGAAAAACACAAGTGAGTGCCTTTAAACAAATAAGGTGCTGGCTTTGTACAATCATTGTGGTTTCAAACACCATATCAAAAAACACTATGATGGGAAGCTATCATTTAATAAATCAAAATAGCTTACTTGGTAATAAATATTTTTCTTAGAAACCACAATATTCTCTTTTCTATGGATCATATGACTTTCCAGTTCCTGAATTTTTTTACATTACTGGAGTAACAAAGGAACGTGGGAAATAACTCTGCATGGTGAAATCGTTCAGTTAAACTGTGCCTACACTGTGGTTAGAACAACTTAAAAATGTGTGATTTCAGGCACAGGTAATCAAATTATTCCCTTTTTCAGGTAGCCACAGGTTGGCTGAATTGGGCAGTGCTGCTCTTCTGAGATGAGGAAAGTGTTTAGTTTTGACTAAATAATTTAGATTTCACTTCTTAGCTTTGTATTCTACAAAGGGGTGAGCAGTATTTCCATCTCCAGTATGGAAAAGTTTTCTTGCCTGTATGGGCTCTGAGCATTAAAAAAAACTACAACAAACTAGCAAAGGCCATGAATTGCTGCTATTGACTCTGTTCTGTGTTGGCTACTGTTCAAGTAACTTCCACTTATATTGATAAATCAGCCTTTGTAGTTAGCAGTGAAAAGAAAGCCAGTATTTAAAATAAAAATAAACATGAAAGAAACTGTACAAAGGTGCAGGTTCTGCTTTCAGTGACAGCAGTCTGAATTCAGATTCGGTCTAGACACAAGTACTGTAAAGACTTGCACATAAATATCTATAGGAAACATACTGTTGCATTTACACAGATATATTCTCAGATGTAGATTAACCGGCTGACATAAAATATTAAATTGACTGGCACCTATCTATTGACATTACCACAGACTATCAGGTGGTCTTAAATTTTTAGCAACAGGCTTTTCTGGAAACATATATGACCTTTCATACTTGCATGCATTTGTATATCAATTCATATATAAGTAAATTTCACCTAAAGAATACAAGTAATAAATTCTTCTGTAAGTAATACTGCTCCATACAAAGTCCTTCAAGTTTCCCAATGTCTGCTAAGAAAGGCATAAAAAAGTTTATACAAAGTCTGAAGAATCACCTTGTTTTACTGGAATCCTTTTTATGATGCACTTCGCATGCAAAGACCACAGTATTCTTCCATTTTTTGGTTCCACAATTATTCAGTATTCTGAAGTTTTGTGTTCCTGGGTGTGAGATTCTTTCTCTAATGAAGTGCAATGTGGATATGAATATATTTTTATGGCTTCAATGACTTACTGGCTCTGCTTGCTGGTAAAAATATGGTTTTGATTATCCTTAAAACTCTTGATTCAACCTACTTTGGGGAAGTTGAGCTATATTGTTTTTTACTGTTCACATGACATGGTGTGCATTCTAGCTGAGATCCAAGGCACTGTACAGTGGACTCGCATCAAAAGAGAAACTGTTGCAGCAAACCTTGACTGGAAGCTGAAATGTAACTTAAGGAATATTAATAACAGAAAGGTATTGAAATCAGAGTTTTGGCTTTAGGCAAACAATTTCTCAGTGGTCCAAAGTGCTGGTTTAGGAGACGGATAGGACAAAAATTGCTGAAAATATATAAGAAATTTGAAGCCTTGGAAAAAAAAATAAAATTGGAGTATCATTTGCTTAACAGACAGAGCTTTAAATGACCTCAAAGAACTATGTTCCATGTTGGTTACTGTTTTGTAATGGAATTCCATTACTTTGAAAGCAAACGTGGAGTCTGCAGCAGCTTTGTTAGATATATTTATAAGAATATATCTATCCTGTAGCTGATCTTCTTGTGCTCCTAGCTCTTCATTTTGTTTCTTTTTGTATGGAGTGTTGATTTTATGAGAACACATTTAAGTCTTTAGGATTCATGTTAATACACTATGAATGTTGTGCAATGCTATTAGGGCAATGAACAGAAAACTGACAGTATCTTGATTAGTGATGTGCCAGGAAAGGAAAAGATACTTTCTGCAAATCTTTTTTACATTAACTTAGTTTTGAAGTTAATTATATCTCTGCATGCTTATGGGCAAGCCTCAGAGCCACCTGCTTAGTCTGTGGTTTTTTACTACAATTCTGTGGCAGAGTGCCTTCCTGTCTGCATCCTAAGCTGCATGTACCTGTAACACACTGTGCCTACATCAGCCCTGTGCTGTGTGCGGTTCCTTTTTCGAGGGAAAATGTGACATTGTTGACCAGTGACTGGTGGGCTTTCAGAAAGGCAGTTTTCCTGCTAAGTGAGTCATATTTATGAAGCAGGCCACGGTAGGGATGCCTATCCCAATAAGCAGAAACTGATCTCAATTGGTGTCTGAAAAGAAGTTCTGTCCTTGGCAAAGTCTCCCTCTCCTAGGATAATACCCTGACATCTTCTGGCTTTGTGAATGGAGAAGTTTTCATCTCTGGCTAGAGGTTAGCATTCTCATGTAGTTTCTACCTTTTATCTCTGAAGAATTTTGACAAGATAGATCCTTTTTGATGGTGATAATTTTTCTTAGGAAATGAAACTTTGAAAAACATGTTCATTAGCATTAGACTTTTTCATTAATTATGTCAGAAAATTACCTCAGTCTAATAGGAGAGTACTTCACTATACCAATTCTGATATCCAGACTCCACATCCAGTAATGAAGAGATCATAACAGTGCTGAGTATCAACTTTGAAGGATTCTGACAATCTGCATTTTCTTTTCTAGAAAGAGAAGGAAGAAAGAATGTATGTTAATAGCCTTCAAAGAGGCAGGAGAGCAAAAAGATATTTTTTACTTTACTTGAATAAATAAGCTAGTGAGAGTTTATTTTATTTTCATATTTTCATATTTTTTATATAATCAGACATTAATACATGAAATAAACACAAAACAGCCCAGGAAAATTGTGTTTAAATCTGTTAAAACTCGGGTTACAAAGGCATCATGAAGGGCTTACATTTTGGTTTGTTCTGGCTTTATGAGGAATATCATCTGCATCCCTCCAGTATGCTTTGGTGCAGCTTTATAATTCACAGAAAACTATGTGTTATTTTCTCACTGGACTACTTTGTATATTACAAAGGATCATTATTTTTAGTTGTACACAACTAACTTTTCTCTCCTCAACAGCAGTCAGTTTCAAACTTGGTCAGATTTTTGAAAAAGAAAAAGCTGGAAAGATGAGAGAGAAGATTGAAATACTTCAGTTTACAGTGTAAACTCTGGTTTATCACAAAATACCAGACAACAAATTGCATCAACCAAAGCCTAAAACCAAAGTAGTTTTTCCCCTGCCTCATAAACGAGTAACAGTCGACAGCTCTGGAATGTGCACTCCTCTCCCATGAAAATATTTTTCCGCTCTGCCTTTTCCAAAACTCAGAAGTTCAAAGCTAAACTACTACATGTTATAAAAGAACAAATTTACCATGACACTTAAACAAAGACATGAGTCAGTGTATTCAGATTTCTTGAGGGAGGAAGGAGTTATGTTTCTTGTTAGGGCAAGGTTTGCAGTAAAGAAGTTATTTTTATAGTTTTATATATCTCCTTATAATTATTTATTCACGCAGATGTTATGTTTTACTACACAGTTAAAGCTGTAATTCATGCCCTTTTTGTAATGGATATATTAATTGAGGTTTGCAACATTTCTCCTCAGAAAGCAAAATATTAACATCCTTGTTAAACAAACGGGCAAATGCAATCACAGACATTAGGAAATTTGGTTCACTATTGTTTAGGATATCCATGGCAGTCTGGGAACTTCAGCAGTTTCTCTTTGCTCTGAAGAGTGCTACTTGTGTTCTTGGGAATGGCATGAGTAAGGTGGCCAGCATGTATGTTAATAACAGAGACAAAATGAGGTGGCTGTGGACTGCTGTGGACAAAACAATCTATATCTGGAATAAAAAGAATGCAATTTTGTGTCCTCTTGAATGTGAGATGTAGAACATAATAGATTAAGCATCTGAATTGCTGTATGTAGTTTTTAAAGCTGTCTAGGAAACTTGGAACACCATTTCCATTTATTTGGAACAAGTGGCTGACTCATTTGTCTGCCTTGAAAAACCTCTACGACTGTTCCTGATTGGAATAAGATGAATATTCTGAAAGTCATTGCTCTTGTGAAACAGGAAAGAAGTCACAGAAAGTCACAGGGCTCCTGTTACACTGAGCCTCATTGAATGCAATATCAATTTGGAATATATTAAAGGATGCAAACTTTTAGGTACTGTAGCAGCTTTAGTATATGTCCACTCTTTCAAGCAGATTGATGTGGCCAAGATTTGTCCTTTGTGAATACAAGATTTGGGATAGCTTGATCAAAGATCTGCTCTGGATTCAGACCTTTGACACTGAAAGTTATATTCAGGAGGATGGAACCAAAATTAGAAAATCCTTGAGCATGGAGAAAACTGACATATCAAACTGTATCCAACAGCCCTTGCACACCATCAGGATTCGGTTTTCCCTTATTAATATGTAAAGATTTATTAGGTCAGTCTCTAAAAGCTGTGTTGAGCAACTGTAGAGACAATATGCTCAAACTGAGGGGCACACATTTATTTTCCTTCAAATGCAATTTTTTTTTTGGCCTAGCTGGTTGCTTTACCTATAGTCATAGGTTGTCTTTAGCCTTTTTAAAATACTATCATATTGCACAGGGTAATAGAGGGTTTTGCACAGGGTTTGCCTTTTTTAGAGGCCTTTAACCAACTGCACCATTGAGTTTAATGTTGGTTATGAAGGAGATCATCTGTGAAAAGTAACATTTCTATTAAGGGAGAATGTCAGGGTGTTTTGTTGGATACAGGCACGTCACACTGATGACAATGCCTAAAAGCACCAGTCACCTAAAGAGGGGAACCTGCATTAAGTGGCCTACTGAGTAGAAGAACCATGTTTTAATAGCCTTTGGAATAAGGACAAAAGGGAACTCTGCTTGATAGACAATAAACTCATTTAATGTTCAGTCATCATGCATTAAACTTTAGAAGTTACTAAGAGAGCAACACCAGGATATAAATGTCATGGAACAGTAGGGTGCAATGAAGAGGCAGTGCCTTGATAGAAAGAGGGCAGCTGATGAGTAACAGGCCAGTGGTAGCTGTGCTGGCTCCTGTGTGCAAACAAGGGTGAGAAGGAGTTCGCTCCTCCCTTTCCCTGGAGCCAAACACAGTTCTCACCTACGAGCTGCTTTGTTTGGCTACGTGGGCAACACAGGCAGCAATACCTTACATGTTCTGCACCAGTCAGAACCACAGTTTGGGCAAACTCGGTACCAAACAGTGCAATAAGGATTACACAGGGCAAATATGTATTCCCTTGGCCCTTGCTTCCACCTTCCACATTATGCAAGTGAGCAGGGAAGGGACTTTCACCAGAGGTTAGGAAAACTGTGATTTATAATGTTGGTGGCAGGTGGAACAGGAGAGACTGTGGGACTAAGGGAGCCAAGCATTTTAAACATCTGTTGTAGGCCTGTGCCAGATGTAGGATACCAGACAAGATGTGCCATTTGTCTGTTCTTGAATGGAATTTCCTATGTCCCTAATACCAAGCAAACTCTTGTTTATTTATAATATAACTACTTCTGGTTTTGTAGAGATGATATACAGCACATTTCATCTTTTTACTTTCACAATGACATTTAACACTTAAGAAGTTATTTATTTAGCTGTGTAAATACAGTCAAGAGGCTGTTTTGCTTTGTCATGGGTGAATCTGTAAAGGCTGGAAAACTACTCAGTTTAGGAAGGCTGCCTTGTGTAGTTTCCTGAAGTACAGTTTTCTCTAATGCTTGTCTGGGATAAAAATGGGTCTCGGTTCTTACAAGGCCTGTGTCAGGCAGTGATTTCAAGTGATCGTTTTCATGGGCACAGACAGAGGAATGATTTGGGAAACGCTGACTGTTCTCTTCTGACAGTGGATTTTCTTGCCATTCCAAGTGATTATATTTAATAAGTAATTCCAATTATTTCTCAAAGGAATAAACAGGAATTTCTAAGCAAAACATTTTCTCAGAATATGTAACTTCAAAACTACAGATTCCTAGTGGAAATGTAAGCATTAGTAGTAAAAGAAAATGTCTCCCAATTCTTAGAGTGCATTTCTTGACAAATTTTGACAGAAACAGACTTCCCAGAGTAACAGCACCTCACAGTCAGACTGATTATCTGGAGTTGATTATCCTATCTTTAAGTCTCTGTGCTACCTTGTTAATACAAAAGACATAAGCCCCAAATTACATTTAAGACCAGGAGAAAAAGTCAGTGCTGATATATATAGCTTGAAAAGCAAAATGGAACAGCCCTACTCTCCCAAGACCTGGACTCCAGAGTAAGCCAATTGCACAGAAGGGTCTATCTTCTGCAGATCAACCTTGCTTACTGTCAGCATCCTTCCTGTCACAACTGGAATTCCTGTTGGCTCTTGCTCCAAAGGCACATCAGGCTGGACTATCAAACCTGCCAGCCTTTTTCACAGGTCCTTTCTGGTACCTCTGCTCCAGCGTCACATCTCTCCATCCTTTACCAGCAAGCTGTGTCCTAATTATCTCACTGCTCTCTGAACTAAGACATTTCTTTGAACTATTGCTAGATTTGGTGTTTACAGGAGGTGACACCCAAGATAGACTTCTTCACCTGGGTCCTCAGTTGACCCCATCTTTTTCACTGAAATGCCTTGGTTTCTCTTAGACAAGAGAATTTAAAATAAACAAAAATCTGCAAGATAGAAGAAGTGAAAAGCTGTAGTGACGAATTTATTAACAAAACCATAAGGCCCACAGTACAGCTAATCAGAAACCAAGTTCCTCCAGTGGTATTTCCTCTAACATTTAAGGTCACAACATACATCAAAGCATGTGCAGTTAACGGCCTGCATAAATGTGCTTCATGAGCTTATCCCTTCCTGCCTCACTTTTTCTGTTTGTAAAGCTGAGGCTATATTATTAGACTGGGGCAGTGCTGTGAAGTCCAGCTTCTGACAAGAGATGTTACAATAATTACTGCAGCAGATGTAATAATCAAATGAAAGCAGCCATTCAAAAATCAAAGTACAAACCAAAGTACATCACTTATGTTGTGTGCTATTGCAGGTATAGAACCAGCAGAGCAGAAAAATGTTCACACTTGCTTCTAGATGTAATCCTCTGTTAGGAAAGTATCTCCCTCCCCCCCTCCCCCAAAAAGGTTTTTCCAGTACACTTTGCTGGTTTTAGCTGTAGCTAGAAAAGATACAGCTGTGTTTTTTGGCTTATACAGCTTGAAGCTGGAGCTCAACATTCAGCAACAGCTAAGTCTGAGCTGTTTTACAAAACTATTTTTCTGTAAACATTTTCATTCAATAGTTACCATGCGATATCTGTGCTCCCTTAAAGCATCCTAGTGACTGGGTGCCTTATCTTCATATTTCCAGACTGATCAGATACTTACTTGGGAGGTGGTCTGAAAGCTGGGGACAGAGGTGAGACAGAGAGCATTTATTGAAAGCTGGATTCTGACATGGAGTCCTATGATAGACAGTCCAACAAGCTGCTGCTGAGTGACAGACAGCAGCATCTCAACTGGCAGCTGAATTAATATAGTCAGTTTGAAGAAGAATTTTTAAGTTAGCCTTTAGCTCATGGGTTTGGAAAATCATTTGCAAATGGACCCCACACAAACAGGGCATAAAATAGAGGATCCAGGTTGGGGCTTGGGGGTTTTGTGCACAT